ATATATATATATATATATATGCATTTAACTAACCCCCGCCCAGGTCTACTGAACAAAAACGCATGATACAATGCTGAGGGCATTCTGCCTGTTTGGAGATCTCCCAAATAATATATAAAATATATATATATATATATATATATGTATATACTTCATATATATATATATATTATATACATATATATATATATATGATGACTTAAACGAACAACAGTGTTGCTGCTGCTGCTGCATTATTATTAAAGAGGTGAAACCTTCTTTAAAGAAACAAATTCTATTAACTCGAAAACGCCGCTCTCACAGGCACAAGGCCCCAAGAAGATTACGGTGTACAGACAGCTACAGTTTTTTTCTGCTTTGATTAAGAAACAAAACAAACAGCAGGAATTGGCGTTAAAAACACATGGAGCCATTGACTTGTGGTGTCTGTTCATCAGGCGTATGTGCGCTGTCTTATGTTTTTATTCTATTTATTTGCTGCTGCTGCTTTCGTCTCCTCTGCTAGCCCCCTTGCCCCCTGTCCCTTTACTGTCTCTGCACTAATACCCCTCATTGTCTATAAAGGCAGATCTTCTGTCTTGTGTTTTTTTGTTGCTGTCTCCTGCTGCTACAACCTACGTCTCTGTCTGTCTCCGTTTGTCTCCGTTGATCTCTGTCTGTCTCTGTTTCGTTCTGTTGCATTTATCTGTCTCTATCTGCGTTTGCTCTGCCTCCTTGTTTCACTTTATTTCAGCATGTCTCTCTCTGTTTCTTCTTATGCTTTCTGGCGTCTCCGTTGGCTGTTTCTCTCTTTTGTTCTGCGTCTGCTTTGCTCTCTTTGTCTCTGCTTGTTGCTGTCTCTGTCTTTGTTTGCCTTCCTTTGCTTCTGTCTGTCTGTGTATCTGTTCGTGTCTACTTGTCTGCTTCTTTTGTCTCTGTTTGCCTCCGCCTTTCTTTGCCTCTTTCTCTTTTCGTCCTGTCTCGATCTTCGTTTGTTTTCGTCTCCATCTCTGTGCGTCTCGGTGTCTCCTGCTCCGTTTGTCTCTGCTTCTGACTGATTTTGTTGTCTTTGTCTTTGTTTGTCTTTCTCTGTTCCTGTCTTTGCCCGTTTCTCTTTATGCATCTTTGTCTCGTCTTCCGTTTACCTTTGTGTGTCTCTGCTGCTGTTTGTCTCTGTTTGTCTGTGCTTCTGTTTTTTATTGTTCCTATTTGCTTGTGTCTAACTCTGTCTCCCTCCATGACTTCCTGTGTCTCTGTCTCTGCTTATATCTGTGTCTGCTTGTCTCTGCCTCCTTTTTTCTTTGTGCGTCTGTCTGTCTCTGTCGTTCACTGTCTCCGCTTTTCTCTGATTGTCCCTGCCTGCGTGTCTCTTCGTGCCTGTCTCTGTTTGCATCTCTATCTGGTTGTCTCCGTCTATGTCTCCGTTTGTCTCCGTCTCTGTCTCCGTTTGTCTAAGTCCCTATCAATGCTTGTCTCCGTCTGTGTCTTTGCTTTGTCTCCGTCTCTGCTTTTCTCTGTTCGTCTCTGTCTCTGTGTTTGTCTCTGTCTCTGTTTTACTTCGTTCGTCTCTGTGCCTGTCTTTGAGTCTGTCTCTGTCTGTCTCTGTTTGTCTTTGCCTCCGTCTCTGCCCCTCTCTCTCCTTTTTTTCTCTGTTTATCTGTCTCTCTGTCTCTGCCTGTCGTTTGTTTCTCCGTCTCTGCTCGTCTCCGTCTCCTTTTGCATCTGTCTCTTGTCTCTTTTTCGTTTCCGCATCTGTCTGTTTTTGTCTCTGTCTTCGTTTTTTTCTCTTCGTCTCCCTCTGTCTCTGTCTTTGTCTCTGTCTTTGTCGCTGTCTTTGTCTGCATCCCTCTATGTTTGTCTCCACCTCTGTCTATGTTTGTCTCCTTTCTGTGTCTCCGTCTCTGTCATCGCTTTATTCTGTATGTCTCTGTCGCTGTCTCTTTGCATGCGTGCAATCTGTCTCTGTTTGTCTCTGCCTCTGTTTGTGCCCGTCTTTCTTTGTGAATGTCTCTGTTTGTCTTCGTCTCTGCCTCCGTTTGTCTCCGTCTCTGTCTCTGTTTGTGCCTGCCTCTGTTTGTCTCTGCCTCCGTCTCCGTCTCTGTTTGTCTGCGTCTCCGTCTCTGTCTCTGCTTGTCTCCGTCTCCGTCTCCGTCTCTGCTTGTCTCCGTCTCCGTCTCTGCTTGTCTCTGTCTCCGTCTCCGTCTCTGTTTGTGCGTGCCCCTGTTCGTCTCCTTCTTTGTCTCTGGTTGTCTCCGTCTCTGTTCGTCTCTGTCTCCGTCTCTGCTTGTCTCTGTCTCCGTCTCTGCTTGTCTCTGTCTCCGTCTCTGTGTGTCTCCGTATCTGTTTGTCTCTGTCTCTGTTTGTCTCCGTCTCGGTTTGTGCACGACCCTGTTCATATCCGTCTCTGCCTGTTTGTCTCTCTATTTCTTTTCGTGCCTGTCCCTCTTCGTCTCCTTGTCTGCCTCTGTTTGTCTCTGTCTCCGCCTCTGTGTCTGTCGCTGCTTGTCTCCGTCTCTACCTGTATTTGTCTCTGTCTCTGTGCATGTTGCTGTTTGTCGCCGTCTCTGCCTCTGTTTGTCTCCTTCTCCGTTTCTGTTCGTGCCTGTTCCTGTTTGTCTCTGTCTCCGTCTCTGTTCGTCTCTGTCTCTGCCTCTGTTTGCCTGTGCTTTCTTCCGTTTGTCTCTGCTCCTCTGTTTGTCTCTCCTCCTCTGTTTGCCTCTGTCTCTGTTTGTCTCCGTCTCTGTTCCTGTTAGCTTCTGTCTGCGTGTGCTCTGTTCGTCTCTGTCTCTGTTTGTGCCTGTCGCAGTTTGTCTCCGTCACTGTCTCGGTTTGCCTCCATATCTATTTCCTTCTGTTTGTCTCCGTCTCTGCTTGTATCTTTCTCTGTTTGTCTCTCTTTTCATATGTCTCTGCCTTCAAAGGCAGCAGAAAGCTTCTTGTCTTTTAAATATCATTACTATTAAATAACTCTACATCAGATCTTATTTGTCTCTTGCGTTTGTATCTGTCTCTGTTTCTGTCTGCCTCATCTCTTTTTAGTTTTCGTCTTCGTAGCTACGCTTGCTGCGCCTGCCGTTTGTCTGTCTCCTTTGCCTTCTGTTGTCACAACTTCTTATTCCTGCTGCTGCTCTGTTGCGAGGAAACTCAGAGACGCCTGCTTACAGCAGCAGCAGCAGCAGCAGGAGGGACAGCAGCGGTAGCAGGGACAGTAGCAGCAGCAGGCACAGCAGCAGCAGCAGCGACAACAGCAGAGGCAGCAGCAGCAGCAGCAGCGACAGCAGCAAGACAGCAGCAACAAAGTCCGAGATCCAAGTAATTAAAAATCGATTCTTTAACTGCCTTTCTTCTTCTGTACAGCCACTTCACTGCATTGCTTGCAGCTGCTGCTGCAGCTACTGCTAGGGGCCCCCAGGGGGTCCCCCCATTTTGCTGCTGAAAGGGGGGGCCCCAGGCTCGCATGCAGCTGAACCCCTAACCCTGACAAGAAGAGGAAAGGCCTCATCCTTGCTGCTGCTTAAGAGCTGCGACTCCCCTTTGCTGCAGTACTTAGAACTATCCGACACCCTGCGGTAAGAACTCTGAGGGGGAGCAACGGCTTGCTGCTGCTGCTGCTGCTTCTCTTGCTGCTGCTGCTGCTGCTCCTGCTGCTCCGTGTAACCCGTGGGCAGATCCGTGAGGGAATGGCGGCTTCGTAGCCTCCGGGGTTGATGCTTGCAAGTGAGTGGGCTGAGCAGAAGACCCTCATGGAATCTGCTGCTGCAGTTGCTTCTGCGCCTCTTTCCGCTGCTGCCGTTGCTGCTGCAGTTGCTGCTGCAATTGCTGCTGCTGCTGTCTCTCTTTGAAAGCCAACTGCTGCGGCGGTGAGCAATGGGAGTTGATGCTGCCTTCCCTAAAGCGTGCTGCCTGCTAAGAACGCTCCAAACACTGAGCCCGCCGCAGCAGCAGCTGCCGTTGCTGCTGCGGCTGTTGCTGCATTTGTTGCTGCCGGTGTTGCTGCTGCTCTGCTGCTGCAGCTGTGAATCATCATAATCACTCTCAATTTCATCAGCAGAACACTTATCATACCCGCAACCATCCGTCTCTATGGGTGCTTCTGCTGTTGCTGTTGCTGACTCTGCTGGTGCCGTTGCTGCTGCTGCTGCAGCTGCTGCTGCTGCAGTTGTTGCTGCTGCATATTCCATGGAACTGGCTCCTAGATAACTAGGAGACTCATAAGGAAGGAGACACGAGGCAGCAGCAGCTACATCCTCCTTTGCGTTGTTGAATTCAGCTTCTTGTGCTGCTGCTGAGAGTGCAGCAGCAGCAGATGCTGCTGCTGCTGCTGCACTCTCAGCAGCAAGAGGATCCAATCGCATTGATTCCCCACATGCTTCGCCTGCTGGTGCTCCCAACGTGCAAAATTCCGCTTGTGCTGCTGCTGCTGCTGGTACTGGCGCTGCAGCTGCTGCGGACACTGCGGCTGCTGAGGGTGCTGCTAAAAATGTTGCTGCTACTGCTGCTGCTGCTGTTGCTGCCTCTAATAGGCTAAGAGAAATTCTGTCTGTAGAAGAAGAGAAAAGGCGTTGATCCGACCCGCAGGACAGCGGCTGTGTTGGAGGTAACGTCGATCCTGAAGGTGACCCAGCAGCTGCAGCAGCAGCAACAGCAGCAGCAGCATCTGCTGCTGCTGCTGCTGTTGCTTCAGCTGTTCCTAAAACAGTAGCTGGAAAGCCTGCTGCTCCTCCTGTAGGAACAGCAGCTGCAGGTGCAGCAGTTCCTGAATCCGTTGCGGCAGGGCCTGCTGCTGCTGATGCTGAGTCAGCAGCAACAGCAGCAGCAGCAGCAGTATCTGCTCCACTGCTTACGTCTGTAAGGGAAAGCAGCAGCAGCAGCGCAGCGACATGCTGGCAGATGCCGAAAGATCTGTGGAGCCCACAGCAGCACCCATGTTCAATATCCTGCTGCCCTTGTTGTTGTTGCTGCTGCTGCTCTTGCTGCTGCTGCTGCTTCTGCATGAAGCGTAAGTAAACAAGATGGTTGTGACTTTTTTCTGAAGCGCTCGATATCAAAAGTGCAACCTCCAGCGCTTTCCTCCCCATCACCTGCAGCCATCGCGCCTTAAGACCACTGCTGCTGCAGCGAACCCCCAAAGGGGCCCCCATAGAGGCCCCCAGAGGGGCCCCCAGAGGGGACCCCAGAGGAGCCCTCATAGGGGACCCCGAAATAGGCCTCAGAGGGGCCTCCCGGGGGGCCCCCGTACCTAGATGCCCCTGAAACCCATCAGAGAGGCCCTTGGTGGTGCCCCCAAACGGCGCCCTAGGGGCCCTTGCTGAGGTGAAGACAGTCTCTGAATCCTCTTCGTGACAATGGGCCCCCTCAGGGGGGCCCTTAGAAGAAGATGCATCAAACTCCTGCAGGGGCCCCGTGGGGGGCCCCCAATGAACGTGCAGATTATAGGCTATCGATATGCCCTCACGCTCAATGATTGGCCATGCACGATGAAGTTGAGTGGGTGATAGTGCTGCTGCTGCTCCTGCTGCTGCTGCTGCTCCAGCTGCAGAAGCAAGAGCAGCCACTACAGCTCCTTCATACGCAGGACAGGTATTTTGGGGTTTTGTTTTGGTTTGTGTTCTGTTGTACTTTTGCGGCTGAGACGTTCGGTCTATAGATGAACTCATGACAAGCGAAGCTGCAACTGCTAAACCCTCGCTATCCCCCACAAAACCCTAAACCCTAAAGCACAAACCACCAATGCCTATGTCTTAAGAATTGGTGTTCATGGCTGCAGCGGTCTGATGCTACTACAAGCAAGAGAAAGGGGAGCTGCAAGATGTCGTCAGCAGGGGAGTTCAGTGCTGCTGCTGCTGCTGCTGCTGCTGCTGCTGTCTTTGTTGTTGCAGATAATATATGCCCTCGTTGCTGCTGCGTCTGTTGCTGTTGCTGCTGTTCAAAGGGTGAAACAGCTTGCGGCCGACTTGCTGCTGCTGCTGCTCCGCCTTCCGCTGGTGCTGTTAATGCACTGCAGCGCACAGGTTGGGTAAATACATCTTTTGCAGCGCAGATATATTTGTATTTACTGTAAATAGTACGTTTATAGGGGAGGAGTGGTCCTCTTTAAACGTGTACAGCTTAGCTGTTCACTGAGCTATAGAGCTCGCGCACAGCTCATGAAGGGCAGAAGCGTTTAGTTTAGAATGGTTGAAAGGAATTACTGACAGTGATGAGACATTTAAATGAAGTTAATGGAACTGTTGTCGTCTATACACCTGGAAAGAAGACGATCAGCGACGAAAGCAAGGCGGCCCAGTAGGGCGCCAGCCATCTGCGGGGAGTGCACCAGCAAGGAAGATGGAATAGAAAAAAAGGAGAAAATGATTTTAAACCTTAAAAATTAAATAAAACGTTTCAACCTGATTATTGAACTTCTTGAAATAACCAACAAGGTAGCGTAAAGGGCCTCCTCGTCCTCTATGGAAGGGGGCCCCACCGCCGTCTGAAGAGGGGCCCCAGAGGCATACAAGAAAAAGTTCAAAAAGGAGGAGAAAAATAGTTTATTATTCCCTCAAAACAATCAATAGAATAAACAAAACATATTGAGGTGAAGGAAATGTAGAGGTGTTGGCTCAAACTGAAGTATGTGATATGCATAACATCTTCTCGGGCTATGTGTGTATATGCAGTATTAATACAATAAAAGTTCCGATGAAGATTCACCTTTAAACGCATAAATGGGCTCAAATACCTTTAAGCATCTGTACAGGGAAAGAAATGCCCTTCCCAGTCATTGTTTTTACCCTCATTGCCATCTCACGAAGACGACTTCATCTTTATAAACAAAAACAAACGTGCAGAAATCAGAGTTGAGACGGCAGAACCAAAGCAAGGGGAGATAAAAGATCTGCCTGTTAGGAATATGCTACTACTACTTTAACTACATTGTATCGCCATGCTGACGGTGCCTAATGCACTTACAACTATATATATATATAATACATATATATATATATATATAT